ATTATTGAGTTTTTAAAGCAAGAAAACATCGAATTGTTGGAACATCCCGAACATACAGTCCTAACGATTTTCTTACTTTTCCAAAAATGAAGAATGGCCTGGGTGGTAAAAGGTTCCAGTTCCTATAAGATGAACTCAGCGCCTTCGAAACCGCAATTTTGAAGGCACCAACAATCGAGTGGAATAACTGTTTTCAGAATTGGTTCCAACGGATGCAGAAATGCATTTTTCTTCGTGAGGAATTATTCGATAAACAATAGTGTTTAAAAATTATCTACTGTTTTTTTCTACGTCTACCTATATGCAATATATAACAGTCAACCCTTGTACAATCAAGCGCCTTTAGTACTGATTGGTATTTATTTCTTGTTTGAAGGAAACTATACAGTTGAGTGGGAACGATTTATTATGCTTTTTGCGTTTAATTTAATCTAATGTTGACTTTTGGAAAATGTATAAGTAAATATTTTTGTTAAAGCAGATTTTTGAGTCACAATTAAGAAACTGATGGCGATATAGAGGTATACAGTGTCGCTGATATATATGGAAACGGTCGATTAGTGCGTAAAATATACGAGATACCGCAAAAAGTCAAATATAAAAGTTATAAGGTTATTAAATGTCTATTGGCGAGTAATAAATTTAAGTATATAGGGCCGGTCATAAAGTCGTGGCACATTAGTTCATAAGTTTCATTTTTTTTAAATAAAAACCCCTGAATATTATTGCATATTTCAATTCTTCCTTCAATTCTAAGCAAAAATAGAGATTTTTGCTTAAAATTGTAATACACATAAGAAAGAATTGTAATATCTAATACTATAAAGGGGGGTTCCATTTAAAAAAAATGAATTTTTGAGGTGCCACGACTCTATGACCGACCCTGTGTACCTTCAAGCTGTTAGGCATTTAAAAACCCTATAACTTTTGTATTTAATTTTTTGCGGGACCTTGTATATTTTGACCAATAATCGACCGTTTCTATACATATTAGCGACCCTGTATGTAGTTGTAGACGGTACTTAAGAGTCTATTACGCTGTACAGGGTGAGTTAACAATAGAGTAAAGTCCATTATCTCATTTGTTCCGAGGTTTACAAAAAAAGTTTAAATATAAAGGTTGTAGAGAAGGTTAAGATACCCATTTTAAAATTATTATAGAGTATACAAGGTGCTTCAAAAAAGTGTGGCGGATATAACATATGTTATTTTAAATGCAACGCCCTATTTTTTATTTTATTTTTAGATTCTGCGTAAAATTCCATAACTTTTTTTATATATAATGCTATATATCTAAAATTAATAGTTTTTGTAATATTTTAATTTGTTTAAACAAATATTAAATTGCAGTGTGGTAAAAATTTGTCAGTGGTGCCATTGTTTCTAAAGTTGGAGTACCAAAATTTGGTAGAAGAGTTTTATAGAGATGAACAAAAAGATATATATATAAAGATATTTTAATTAAATGATACAGGGTGTTCAAAATATATTTATGAATTTCAACTACTTAAAATTAAAAAATCTCAAATTGTTTAAATGGGACACCCTATATATTATCATTTTCTCTGATAGATTTTACAAAACTCTTCAACTTTTATTAAGTCACATACCTATTTTTAATAGTTTGCGATTTATTCCAATTTTTTCTATTTTTACCCATATTTTTAATACAATTACCCTATAAAATCATAGTTGCCATGACAAAACAAACTATTTATAACTTAACAAGTTTATTTATTCTTTAACAAGTAGCTTAATAATTAGTTACAATTGCTGGTATTAGTTAAAATTAATTATCTTTACTCAAATAAACTAAAATCGCAGTCGTGAATTTCTTGGTGTAAGTATTTCTATATTATGAAAGATGACACTACCCAGATTAGGGTAATACTAGATTACCTAATTGTTGAAGACTACTGATATAGGAATTTTCTTCGACATACAGTAAATTTTTTTTTCTCGTAGTAATTCTGGTTTATATTTCATTTGGTAAAGCCAACATTACTACTGCCGCGAAACTGTCCCATTACACACTGAAGATGTTTTCTAGATAATCTACATCTATTCTTATACTACTTAGCAAAGTACTATATAATATATAGTACTGAACAAAGAAATATATTTTTTTGGCTTGTTCGTGTATATCAGTCACCAGTCACATTGACTAATTAATTTCAGGAAAATCTCTAACTATTATCTCTACAATTTATACTTATTACAACAAATTAAACTAAAATTCAAATTTTGTTCTTAACTTGCTTAACAGACAAGAAATTTTGATAATTATTACTTTTTGTCATGGCAACTATGATGTTATAGGGTCATTGTATTAAAAATATGGGTAAAAATAGAAAAAATTGGAATAAAACGCAAACTATTAAAAATAGGTATATGACATACTTAATAAAAGTTGAAGAGTTTTGTAAAAACTATCACAAAAAGTGATAATATATAGGGTGTACCATTTAAAAAATTTGAAATTTCTTAATTTGAAGTAGTTGAAATTCATAAATACATTTTGAACACCCTGTAGCATCTAACCAAAATATCTTTACATAGATCTTTTTCTATATCTCTACAAACTTCTCGTACCAAATTTTAGTTCTCCAATTTCAGAAACAATACCATCACTGGCAATTTTTCACACTGCAATCTAACATTTGTTTAAACAAATTTAAATATTACAAAAACTATAAATTTTAGGTATAAAACATTATATATAAAAAAGTTATGGAATTTTACGCAGAATCTAAAAATAAAATAAAAAATAGGGTGTTCCATTTAAAAAAACATATGTTATATACGCCGCACTTTTTGGAGCACCCTGTATACTCTATAATAATTTTAAAATGTGTATCTTAACCGTCCCTATAACTTTTATATTTAATATTTTTTTGTAAACCTCGAAACAAATGAGATAATGGACTTTACTCTATCGTTGACTCACCCTGTACTGTTCGAGTCGCTATCAGAGGTCGAGTAAAGATGGTGTGTGGCCGAAGGAAATATTATATATTATATTTCAGAAATCTGCCTAAGGGCTTAGCCCGATCCTGTTATGTTAAGCCACATCCAAAACTCCAAACACACGTGCTTTGGTTAAGGCTTGATTAAGGTTTGCAGAGCTTCAGCATTTGCCATAAAATAGCGAGCAGCAAAACCATATAAATTATATATCACTGTAATCAAAAAATTTCAAACTATTTCCGTATTGTAACGGAATTTTAAATTATGTCTTTATTTTTTAGAAAATTTAGTCCAATTATAAGGAATATTTTGTTCATGTTTGACCATCAAATCTTTAAAAACAAAGAAGTTGTCTATATATGTGCTACAATACGGATATTGTATATAGTCCTTTATCTTTAATTTCCTTTTCATTTGTGTAAAAATACCTAGCCAGTTTTACATAAAACGTTAAATGCCGAACGCTTATTTTGCTACTTTTTCGGACTAGTGAAACCTTTGGTGAAACAGACTCTTAATGAATTAAATCATTTAGCAAGCAGTGCAAGCACGAGCCTGTAGGACTGTCAGCAGTGCGAAAACTCTCAAATATTAATAATAAGATTCGGAATTCTTTGGCGAATGGAGACCCACGCCGACCCCGCATATTAAATTATGCAAATTTTTTTCCAAGCCCATAAAGTCCAATCGTTCGCCGATATCGCTATATAACCAAACCAAATGAAATTATTTAGTTATTCAGCGCCTTTTCTTGTGCGCGTTTTTTTATTCTGTCTGTTTGCTGCTATCTTTTTGTCCGTTTTTTTAATTGGACATCAAGGTGTGTCGTATATGTCCCCCTTTTTACTAAATATAGGGTGCGATCCAAAGAATTAAGAAAATATAAGTGATTTTATATATTCGTGGAAATGCAGTTAAATTATGCTTTGGTTTGTGTTCAACCAAAAGACGTTGTTTCGTCAATCAACGCAAAAAACCTTTATTTAATGTCAGTATTATATACCAAGAGCATCAGAATCATTTTCATGTTGGTTTATATCCAATATAAAAATAATTCTGATGCTATTTGGAATCCCTTAATTTTGATATTAAAATAAACTTTTTTGCAAGGTTTTTATTAATATGATGTAGTTAGTCTCAGAGAGAGATTTAAATTATTTTGTTATATATTTTTTGTCGCTAGGCGTTATTTGTATTTTAAATCTGTTACGTGCATCATCTTGTGGCGTCACAGTTTCTGTTTTCCAAGGATAAGACTAGGTAGAGATATTCCAAAACCCAAAATAAACAGAAAAAACTTTATTTAATTCTTTAATTGCACCTTCTTTAAATAATTTTTGTTTTAACTGTAGTAAAATGAGTTTACTTTTTGATTTTATCAAAATTTAATGAATTGATTATTCAATTTTTTTTTTCGAAAAATATGTATATAAGGTGTCTAAATAAATAAAATTTGACTAATTGACTAATTTTTAAAATTTGTCGCATATATAAAAAATTGTTTATTTTCTGGAGGATTATAATATCACTATAGTAATAATTTTAAATTTATAATTTCTCTGTATCCCTGAGATATCTAAATACAGCAATAATTTAAATATACAAGTTATCAGTATGTACTTCAGAAACATTTTGTAAAGAATTTGATAATTTAATCATGTTTTAATTTGGTCTATCTGAAAAGAATTTAAAAATAATCAATTTTTTTGGAATCATATGATGATTTTATCTCTATAACTGGCTGAAAATACACACAAAATTCAACATGGAAATATTTATATATTCTTTAAAAAATATTTCCTTAACATTATGTATTATACTAGAGAAATTGTTTTAAGAAAATCGGGAGAAACCTACTACAATGCATTTTACTTTACCTGCAGTAATCTCATTTATGACTATTTCGTTTTTTTTGGCAACTTACTAATGTCAGAAGTTTAATTTCTTGATGAACTAAGGACATAAAAACAAACAAAAAAACATCTGTACAAGTACATAATATCAACAAGAGAATATCATCAGGAATTCTATTATTGCACCTAACCACTCAGCACCAAGTCCATTTAAACACTTTCTGTTTGAGTGTTTATTACACTGACACTAAGTCCCATTTCGTCTTTTTCTTCACGTCACTTTACAAAACTCACGTACTAAAACATGTTTTTCGTACACCCGCTAGAATTTCACTAAAATCATCTTCTGTTCTTGGTCCTACAACACCTGCGGGAGGTAAATCATAAGCTTCAGGACGTAAGGCTTCAACTGCAGGAGCTGTTGGTAGTATTACACTAGTATGTTGTGCTTGGTAAGCATAATTTACCAAGCCAGAAGTTCCCAAACTTGCTGAAGTCTGTTCTGTCCGATGGTAGTTGTGGTTTGAGTCAACTCCACTACTTCCAGTCATATATTTCTCCGCAGCTTCATATTTGAGGTATTTCTCAAACTCCTGACTATCAACTTCGCTATCTGCATCACTTCTTTCGCCGCTAGGCATGTAGTTCTGCACTAAATTCTGATCAGGATGTGAATACTCCTGATAATACTCCTCAGAGGTCTTATTTTCAACATTATTCAAATTTTTCATGTGTTGGTAGGCTATAAATCCATCTTTACACTGTTGGTCTTGCTCATAACCTTGATAATCTTTGTGAGCATGGGGACTGTAGTACCCTACATTCGAGGAGGGATAGTAATGAAGTCCACTGCCTCCAGGGCCTACAGAATTTGTTACTATGGCATTCATAGCCCCTTGTTGCCCGACTCCAAGCAATTGTTGATCTTGACTTGTTGCTACAGGTGGATAAAACGTTCCTGTAACCACGTGACCTTGTTCCACGCTGCTTTTACTTGAGCACATCACATACATGCCGTTAGCCATCGGCACAGAAGTAATAGGTTGAGTATTTGTATAATTCAAAGGTCTATAACTTTGTATTTTGGGTGTTGTATACCCGGCAGGTGATCCCATATGTTGTAAATTGTTCACCCTATTGTCTTCTTGCTGCTGAACTTGTTGCTGTTGATCTAAAGGACTGAGTTCTGGAGTTGGTAAAGTAGAATTTTTTTCTGAATCTTCCTTAGACAAACCCCTATCCTGTGGACTGTTGGTGCCTCTTTTTGGTTCGGGGCTTTGGGTAGGTGATGTATCAGGCGTTTGAGTTGTATAAGGTGACTTTTGTGAGTAGTTTTGATAGACTGCGTAGCTGTAGTTGAATTTGTTGAAAGTGTCTGGACTATACCTGGAAATGACGAAGGAAATATAAGTAAAGATTTTGTATTTTGAATTTTTTGTGTTTCTAACCTTTTGTCTTGACTATAATCGCCAGTGGCGCTACCACTAGGGCTAGAAAATTCCAGTGGAGTACTATAGCTTGTTACAGTAGGGGACAGTCCGGCGTTAGGAACATAACCTTGATATCTGTAAGAAAAATAACATAGGTATATTTTACATTTATTGCTTTGTATGAAAGTTTAGTTTTAATTATATCTCTGCTATAATATTTTTGTCTATTTTAAAAATCTTTAAAATTTTCTCTATTAAAAGAGCATTTTGTTGCACAATATATAGATACGACTTCTGTGATTCTACAAATTGATATGTTTTTATCAAAAACTATGCCAAGGATCCTGCTTACTGTTTATTTGTTTAACAATCAGGCTTGTTGTTTTTAGTCAGACAACTCTTTTATTTATTTAGTTTAATTAAATAGTTTCAGATATAAAATTAAACAAGTTGTGTAACTTTATAACGTTTACTTATATCTACATATTGTTGTGAACATACATTTAATATGGTTATATGTATATGTATATTCGACAAATTGTATAAAATATTATTTTTACCCTTATTCTACGGCTATGCCTAAAGAATTTAAGGTACGAAAAATACCATCAACATTATTATTCTTCTCAGAAAAATGGGTGATGCAAATAAACAGAACCATTACTTCTAGGTCTATACTTATAGTTAGGGTGTTCTGTCATGTGAATTACCCTTAATCTCTCTGCTTCTTCAACAAAAGGTCTCCTGTCTTGAGGAGTCAGAGATCTCCATTTTTTACCTGTAACAAAGAATATATATATATTTAGCATTGTTTTAGTAATATAACAAAAGTAAGAGTCTGTAAAATATCAGCCGTTTATTAAAACTATTAATATTCTAACTCAAATGCTGACGGTTTCAGATATTTAGAACGCCATTATTAGTGCGTTTATCAAATCGCTAAAATATAGAAAACAATATTTCACCCATAGATTTAGTAAGAATAGATATCACATTAGACATTTTAACCCGATCAAACAATCGGAGGTTGACTACGTACTGTAAAAACCAACTGAGATAGAGAAGGCGACATTGCCACATCTCAAATTTGCGCCTATCTACTTAGTTTAATTTGCAGAAAAGGTGACTTTAAAACCTTTACCGGATATCAATAAGTCTCAATTTCTTAATTAAATTAATAGTTTATTTTTAAAGAAGCATGCGTAATAATATGTTATTAACCAGAGGATATATGCGTTACTATTAAAGACATGTTTACTGTTTAATGTGCTGAAACGTCTAGAACTATTGGCAACGTCGCTGCTAGTCTTCCAGAATGAAATGAGCCGTCCGTCCCACCACCCCTCGCGACGGCCCTTGGTCCGTTATAGCGTACTACGTTTAGCTTACGGTGTGTTTGAAGTCGGAATCAAGTCCGAAGTGAACTTTTCAGTGTTTTTCAGTAGTTTTTGCTTTTGTTTAACGTACTTTTGAATCTGCGAATTTTCAATATGGTACGACAGTGTCAAATGTGTGGAAAAATAAGCTCAAATTACCCGAATTTGTCTCTTCACAGGTAGGTATTGTTTCAGCCGCGCCGTAATCGCCGTACATAGGCGTCCCACAAGGGAGCCTCTCACAATTAAAATAATTTCTAATTATATTTGTTGAATTTTGAGCTATTAAAACAAGAACGTAGTAGCCGGTAATTGAATTATAATTCGTCTCAATTACTACTTAACTGTTGTAGATCATAACAAATTTGAATATAAACGTTGCATTTGAAACTTTATAATAAGCCAGAAAGTGATATTTTTTTTCTTAAAATTGCATCATATTTTGGTCATTATATACGATATTTTAAAGGAATTTTGCTCAACAAATAAACAAAGGTGTTTACCCGCCCTTTTTTACATTTTATTGCATTATTATATCTGCCCCTTCGGCCTCGTTTAAACAATTTTTTACCACCGTACCTTTTTTTAGAATGGGACGAACTGTAAATAATTCTTAGGCTACTAGTTTTATACATACCTATATACAGAGTGACCCAGGCCTCCAAAAAAGCTTTTTACCTATTACGTTTTAGGTTTGTAATTTTTATTTCAATTTTTTACATAAGATGGGGGGCCATTGTAACGCACATTTTCAAAATATTTTTGTCAACATACAGGGTGACTCTCGGGGTGATTCAAACCGCAATACATATGCTTAATACAGTTCATGAAGATTGGGACATTTAACTAAAATTTGATTGTCTGATGAAGCTACCTTTAAAAGTAATGGATTTGTAAATAAACGTAATATTCATTATTATGCGACAGAAATCCCATACTGTAGCACACAGATTTGATACTTTTAATGATAAATGCCTTCTATTGAGAGACTAAAAGGTAATTGCCTCGTATCAGAGCCATCATAATACAAGAAGAAGACCGAAAGTCAAATCTTGTCTTATATTTTAAAAAAAAATACAATTTTGTCATTAAAAATTGATTTTTGGTATAGGAAGTTATTAATAATACAAGATTAAACAACTATTACATAGTACTTTACAGGAAGCTATCGATTGCGAACTAACTAAATCGTTACTAATTACTAATTTTAAAAAGTTCGTTTTAAAATCAAAAAAGGTAAAACTAAAACCTAAATTATCATTTGAGATTAAACGGGAAGTTCTAAATAATGTTGCCTATTCTAAACAAGGAAGATGTATTTATAAGTTTTATAACATCTCTAATTAAATTTGGACGAAAATAATATTTCTGTTTGCTGTAGGTAATTTTCTCAGGGACAATACGTAAATAAAAATGACTTTTTAAGTCAAAAAAAGTCAAAAGGACAAGTTATTCCAAAAAAGGACTGTCCTTTTCAAAAAAGGACAGGTGGCAACCCTAGGTATTTCTGGAATGGAAATTTAACGGCAAATCTACAACTTTAGTTTGAAAATATGTTCAGGCCACCTATGTTTACAAAAATGTCTAAAATGTGCTTTACCATTGCCTCCATATTCTGAAAAAAAAAATTGAAAGAAAAGTCACCAACCACAAACCTAATATAGAACTGTTTCGGAAGCCTGAGCCACCCTATAAATATTCAAAAGTAACTGAAAGTTTATATAGAATTAATTGAAAGTTTAAATTAAAAATCGACGTTGGAGCGATTTTCGAAAACTACCTACTAACGTTTCAACATAGGTATATGTGGGATATTAATTATATTATTATATTAGACCTTATTAAAAGTGTTAATGTAGTATATTAATATGGAGTAAACATTTTACTAATTACTTTACTTTTACTTTACTAATTAAATTCGTTCCAAAAAACGATACGCCACTGGCCATTAGAACAATCCAAATGCGCCTAGTTGCCGGGGTCGGAAATTTTAGACTTCTCTGTCTCTTCTGTCCTTGTTTGACACATTGGAATGTTTGATACACTACCAACGAGTATTTATGAATGAGATGTTCGGTCTATATTTATAATGTCTTTGATTTCACCAGTCTCGAACTGAGCATTTTAATCCTTTAAGGGAAATGTGTTCAAGGTGACATCGTTGTTACGTTTCCAGGCCCATCTTTTGCCTAATATGAAGCAATAAAACGCAGATATGTAACTGTTCCCTAATGTTCCCTAAATGTGACAAAATTTTGCTCACTGAGCTTAAAGCCGAGACTACATCTGAGGATTGTTCGGTCGCATTTACAGCCAAACCAAAGACTAAAAATATGTAAAATTTTACGAGGGAAAACAAAATGTTGATATTTTGTTGAAAGTTTGAAACACCCTTTGGGTACGTTAACAAAGGAAGTATCTTTTCTAAATAATTTGTTTTTTGATTCATCTCAATAGTTTTTTTTTGGAGATGTTCGCTTTTGAAAAAGACACTAACATTTTTTCGTATTTCTTACATTAAAACCATGCCTTTGCCTTTTGGTTTTAGTCAACAGACCTATAAAACAGTGTTAATGATTTATGTAATGTCAGTGTCTTTCAAAAATCATATTATTATTGTCTGTTGAGGAGTTACTCTAGCAGATATGGTTTTAAGTCCAAAAGTTGGTCTTTACCATGATTAATTAAAGCAGCAATATCCGATAGTTCAGAACCATCTCTACTAGAGTAAACGTCAATATACAATAATAATATGTATTTTCAATGAGTGTGACATTACAAAAACAATAAACACTATTTTATAAGTGTGTCGACGAGGACCCAAAATCAATGCTAAAATTGCTGTAACTCGTTACTGTCATATTCAAAAGCGAATATCTCCAATAAAAATAAAGTTATTGAGTGACTCAAAAGCAAACTATTGGGAAAAGATGTAACTAGATGATAAAATTATTTTTAAATTCTTTTCTTTATTAATATAATCTACAGGGTATCAAACATTCACCAAAATATCAACATTTTGTTTTCCCTTGTATAATTGACAGATGGCCACTTTCATTTTAAATTTGGAAAGAGGTGCTTAAAAGTAATAATAATAATAATAAACAACGCTTTATTTTACAAAACGCCAAAATAGCTTCATCGACAAAGCCTTTACAAAACAAACAAAAGCACAAAAAAAATATACAAAGTCAAATAATTTTGCTACAAACTACTTAAAAAATCGTTAAAATAGGTCGCCCACTAGAAGAAAATACAGGGTGGTCCGAACTGTATTCCGGAAACTTCAGTAGCATATTCTGCACATAAAAATAAGTAAAAAAGTTCGTATAAATGTATGTCCGAAAATGCTTAGTTTCGGAGATACAGGGTGTAGAAATTTCATTTTTATTTCGATTTTTTTCAAATAATTTTTGAAGTAACCTCAATATTTGGATGAAAATTGATGTCTAGGAGTTTTTTGACATGAGAAATTTGATTTTGATGTCAATATGACTCCTACGTACAGAGGGCGCCACCTACATATTTTTTAACTGGTTTGAAGAGTAATAACTTTTCGTCCGTACCTGTATAAACGTACTCAGTAAAAAAATATACATTTACGAAGTTTTTTACGTAAAAAAAGTCTCTTGGTAAAAATCGCTACGAGTAATGGTTCTCGAGATATTTTGAATCGAAATTATCAATACCTGTCATCATTGACATAAATTAAACATGTTAACTAAATAGTTATTAGACTGAAATTATAAATTTGAAATGTTTTTGTGCCAAAAGTTCAGTAGAAACTGTTTTATCGTCATTTTTTCGAACAAAAATTTATTATTAATTTAAAAAAACAAAGTTCCCAAATTTATCAATTCAGTCAAATAAAATTATTTACCCAACACGTTTATTTTTTGACAATAATGAAATGCATTGACTATTTCCATTTTAAATATCTCGAAAACGGTTGCTCGGAGCGATTTTTACCAAGAGACATTTTTTACGTAGAAAATCACGAAAATGTATATTTTTTCAATCAGTAGTTTTATCCAGGTACGGACGAAAAGTTATTACTCCTCAAAACAGTTAATAAACCTACATGTGTAGTAGGTGGCGCCTCCTACTAATAGGCGTCATATTGCTATCAAAATCAAATTTCTCATGTCAAAAAACTCGTCACCAATTTTCATACAAATATTGACGTTACTTCAAAAATTATTTGGAAAAAATCGAAATAAAAATGAAATTTCTACAACCTGTATCTTCGAAACTAAGCATTTTAATACATACATTTATACGAACTTTCTTACTTATTTTTATCTGCAGAATATGCTGCGGAAGTTTCCGGAATACAATTCGGACCACCCTGTATATTAAACTTTAAAATACATCAAAATTTTAAAGTTTTTCATGCCGGTGA